CCAATTTACGTATTGCCGAACCGAATATTCTATTATTTTACCATAATATTATAATATAAGAACAAAAGCACGTATCAATTTAAACAACTAAGACAACATAATATTATATTTCAAAATGAATGTTTAATTATTTTTCCATTAGAATAAAAGTACTACAACTTATTAAACACCGATCTTGATAACATAAACTTAACATAATAACTATTACCAGACAATTCATTGCAATTTAGAATCATTTCAGGATACTCTAATCACCATTACTCTCCTAAACTTAGTTTTATATAATCACCAAACAAAGAAAACAAAACAAAAAATTTACAACCACAAACCAGCTCACAGACCACAGCAAACAGGACACCAAAACAACCAGCAAAGAAACCATCCACGAAGGCCTTACGCTAGCAAAAAACAGAACAAACAGCCAGGACAAAACTGCCAAAACCCCAACAGCCCAGAAGAAGAACCTACAGCAGGCAAGATCACCCAAAAAACCCACTATACCAACAAACAACATCATCAATTCACCCACATTGAGCTCACAATACAGGCCAATCATCAATTAGATAGACAAACAAAGATAGACAACCAGCAGAGAATGCTTTTTTTACTTTTTTATGGTTTTTGTCTTTGTGAATTAGATAGACAAACAAAATTAATATTGCTGGGGAATTGTATTTATTGTATCCATGTTTGGTATTAAAGAATTTCGATCATCAATTTTTGTCCCGTTAAGGTATTAAATTAACTGTAACTTGTAAGTGCTCGAATCTTAGCAACAACGGTGGAGACTGCTGGGTGAGTGGGTGCTGGGTGGTTGTTGTGGACACTACTGCTGGCGGCATGGCCCTGCTGGGTGCTGGCAAAGTGCGACGATTGGAGACTGTGAAGTGTGGACTGTGAAGATCGGAGCTTGGAGAATGGAGTCTGCTCACGATGGGACAGTGGCGTGACTGGAGAGCGGAGTTTGCTGGGTGCTGGAAAACGTGCGACGATCGGAGCTTGGAGAGTGGAGTCTGCTCACGGTGGGACAATGGCGTGACTGGAGAGTGGAGTCTGCTAGGTGCTGGCGAACGTGCGAACTACGAAGAAATGAAGAAAGAAGATGGAGTGGTGACTAGACAGTGGAGTGACTGATGAAGATTGAAGAGTGGAGTATTGGAGTCTGCTCACAGTGTGGATGGAGTGTGCACTGTGCACTGTGAAAGACTAGAAGTGTGGAGATTTAGAGGCGGAGAAGAGTCTGAAGAGAAATAGAGAAGAGTAAAAAAAAATTTTTGTTTATATAGTTAGGGTAAAACCGATTTCGGTTAACCGGTTTGTAAAAAAACCTAATTTTCGGTTCAATTTCGGATTGGTTACTAGTTCGGTTCAGTTTTCAGATTATTTATCCCACCCCTAATTCAAGTAAGACTAAGAGTCTTGGATGAACTAGGATTTGTATAGGACTTAGAGTCCTATTGTGGGATGAGTATAAACTAATGGGCTAGAGTCTGGTTTAGCTTAACCTTTAGAAAGGTCCAACTCATGGAATGGCCTAAAATGTAGGTTGACCCAATTCGTAGGGTGGTCTTGATCGTAGAGTGATCTAACTTGTACAGTAGCCCAACTCATGGAATAAGCTGACTTGTGGTGTAGACCACTCGTATTAATTAATTACAACATTATATTATAAACATTACATTATAAACATGAATAATTTACTACATTAGTACATTACTTAATTAAATGATTAGAAATTTAATTAATTATAGCATTACATTATAATACTTAATTAATTATAACATTACATTATAAACATTAGTAATTTACTACATTAATATATTACCTAATTAAATGATTAGAAATTTAATTAATTATAACATTACATTATAGATTTATAGTATGATTACTTAATTTATTATAACATTACATTATAAACATTAGTAATTTACTAAATTATTATATTACTTAATTAAATGATTAGTACATTATAGTATGACAACTCATGCCTCATAAGTCACGTTATATTAAGAAATCATTAAACAAACTTAAAGTTAGAGTCATACTAATTATTTAATTAAAGATTGATAAATCATATTAATATTGATATTTAGTTTTATTCTTTTGTCACAAATTTACAATTAATTTTAATTTAACTTTATTTTCACTCTAGTAATTATAATATTATATAATATTTGTATTTTAGGATAATAAAGTTTTCCAAAATTTAATTCCCAAAATTATTTCCATAACTATACTTTGTCAAATATATATTGTTATGCCTAAAAAATCATGGCTGACGTGAGCTTGCATCAGTAAGCGCCAATCAAAGTTCAGGAAGGTTTTGTGTCATCCAAGAGCTGTCATGTTGCCTGAAGACAGAAAGAATATAGTTGTCATCAACTTAACAAATTCAGGTTTTGTCTATGAGTGAATAAGGGGTGCACACCTGTCCAAGCCCCACGCGATTTAAGGATATCTCCTATGTAATCAACCAATGTGAAGTAAGGTAGAAATTGTACAATACCTGCTCACTTGCAGACTTGTAATCATTACCTTGAATCCCTCGACTATAAATAGAGGACTCCCCCTCTCATTTTGGGGATCCTAATAGCAAAAAACTATACTCCAATTGTATCTCAGCTCGCTATACGCAACCTGATTGTAATCTCTCATATATATACAAAAAAACAGTGGACGTAGGATTCACTTTGAGCATCCTAATCACTTTAAAAATCATCTTCCATTTATTTACTACATTAATCATTCACGTGTAATTTCTAAGAGCATATTAGCACTTTGCACGTGCGAGTCATTGGTGTCGAAATCAAGCATCAGCAGTTTGGCGTTAGAAGGAGGGCGCATTTAGCATCCGCTCTTCATCAAGAATCTCTGATCAATCAGTTCTACTTGCTAATGAATGGCTCGTGGTTTTGAAACCGAGCAAACTAGTACCAACATCGAGGAGATCCCCTGGGGGCAGAATGATCCTATTCCCGAAGTGCCTCATATTCCACAGAATACCGCAGCGGATTTTCCCTGAGCTCACAGCTCGATCCAGTTATGAGAAGTTACTTGGAGAGGTTCAACAATACTCTCCAAATAGTTAGCCAAAGGCTAGATCGTTTGGATCAGGTCGTACCACCCGAGTCATACAAGAAGGTGTGTTTGTCATTTTTTAAACTAATAGGGGGTAACTAATTTTTTATAGGGTACCCGAGTAAGGAACTAGAACCTGCATTTCAGGTTCCAGTTCCTTTCCTAGGAACCTGCAGGTTCAAGTTCCGATTCTGATTCTTCCAAAAAACACAAATTACTCGAAACCACTCACCCCTATTTATGCATACCACCTCTTATCTTTATTACTTACATTCCAGAAGAATCAAAGTGGCTGCTGTAGATCAACAATCGTTAGATAGAGATGCAATGCTCAGATTGTTAAAAGATAATTTAAACCAATCCTAAAATAGAATGAAGCAACAAGCTTATAAGCACCGATCAAAACGAGAATTTGAGAAGGTGACATGGTTGTAGATGCAACCTTTTAAGCAAACTTCAATGGCTTTAAGAGAAAATCAAAAGCTTCTCTCAATAAATTTTTGGCCATATAAAATTTTGCAAAAAGTTGGGAAAGTAGCTTGCAAGTTAGAGTTACCTATTGGCAATAAAATCAACCTAGTTTTTCATGCTTCTTGCCTTGAGAAGAAAGTTGGAGATTATGTTGGGCCTCAAATGGATATGGATGGACGAGTATGATTAGAATCATCTGTTTTTTTGGATCATTGGGTGGTTAAGCAATCTAACCGTCTAATTACTCAAGTGTTGGTTCAATGGTCAAATTCTTTTTCCTGAAGATGCCACTGGAAAATTTTGTTTGAGCTATAGTAAAGGTTTCCATATTTTTAGCCTTGAGGACAAGGCCTTTTTTTTTTTTTTTTTAAAGAGGAAGAGATTGTAACGTCTCTTTTCTATATAAAGAATACAATAAAGATAGGCAGACAAACTCTTCTTATTAACTTTCTTTCACAAACACGACGTGACGGCTCGTAATTGATCAAATCACAATTGATCAAGAGGGATCCATTGTTGGGCAGACGGGACCCATTGTGAACTGACCAATTGCGAGCTGTCACATCGCATTTATGGGAGAAAATTAGTGAGAATGATTTGTGAGCGTAGTATTACCTTAAAGAATAAGTGAAGTATTTTCTACCTAATTCCCTTACTATAATCTACACTTGTTTTTGCTAAAGTTTGGGAGTAAGTCTTGCTGTAAGTTGAGAGTGTTATTGCTTAATTCTAAGTACTCTAGACAAGTACAACATGTATTTATTAGAAAAAAGTCTGATGGTTGTATTCAGTCTGTTTATTAATAACAATTCAGTATTTTTCTAGTTTGGAAGTGTGTTTCTTCTCTTTGTTCATAACAGGTCCCAATAATAAAAAAATTAGAAAAAAAAATTAAAATATTTTATCCTCATCCTCAAATCTTTTCATTTTCCAGATCTAAGAGCTGAAATGGTGTGGTTAATGATGGATGTCTCAGCTGAAACGCTTGGAGCAATACCTTGCCAAGCCACATGGACCAGTGCTACGCCAAGCCACATAGAGCAGTGCCACGCTAGGCCACGCGATGGCTAGACTAGACTAGGCCTGCAATCGAACCGAACATGAACGAACAGCCCTGTTTGAAACTCGTTCAATAAGCATGAAGGAGTGTTCGATTTCGTGTTCGAACTTGAACGAACACAGGATGACTGTTCGTGTTTGTTCGATTAACAAAATGCCAGTTCGTAATCATTCGACTAACTTGTAAATACCTGATCGAATAACTCGTTCGAATACATGTTCAAATAAAAAATATACAGCAACTTTCCAATTCATGCTCTAAAAACAAATATACAACAATTTATAATTCATACCCATTTAATTTAACATTTGAAAATAAACCAACTCTCTATCTATATTTATATTTTAAATAAATCAATAAAAACTCAGTAAATTAAAATAACTAACCATCATAAATAATAAAACTTCAAAATAAATTTAACATAACAATAAATCGTTCAAAATAAATTTGGTTTCATATCAAACATGACACAAACAAAAGGAATTTGCATTTTGCATAGACATTACAGCACAACCAAAAGGATTCCAAGGAATGAACATGCCACTATATGGTATATAGTGTGAACCTACAAAAGAAAAAAAAATTGAAAATCATTAGTAATAATAGACTTATTTTAAATATGGCTACACTTAAAAAAGTAATCATATATCAATATACTTGATTCAATCGATGGAAAGATCAATCTCCAATTTCTCCTCTGTCTAAAATACACAAAGGAAAAAAAATTAAGTTAGAATAAACATCAAACCATTAAAATAATTAAATACTTATATAACTTATAAACATGGATCTTACTTTGCTCTTTTTCTTTACTCCATGGAGATTGCGACACCAATCTCTACCACAAAGTAGCACTTCTACAGTTGTCGGAGACAAAGATGATTGATAAAGGTCAATAACTCTGCCACCAGCACTAAAAGTCACCTCCGAAGCCACCATGGTTATAGGAATGGGTAGTATATCACGAGCCATCCTCGATAAAATCTTATGCTTCATGATGTTCCCCTTCCACCACACTAGTGCATCAAATGTGTTTGGGCCTGGTTGACAAACATAATGTGACTCCTCCAAATAACAATCTAACTCTGACTTTTCTGAATGAATATCTTTATCCTCAATAAGATAATGTTCTAAATCAAATTCTCCATAAGTAGGAGCTCCGGTTCCTACATTCATCTGAGTAGACATGTTCATTCCAACATTTTCTTCATTGTTGGAAGAATGGAATTCCTCCACATATTCCTTGTACAACTCATACAATGCATCCCATACTTTGGCAATATTTGCTCGTGCTTCAGACTCGGGATACAGTCTAGGGAAAGAAATTTCAATCACCTTCATTTTATATCTTGGATCCAAGACAACGGCAATCGACATCAACAAATTACATTCACCTCAATATTTATCAAACTTCTCTTTCATCTTTTTCACCATAACTCGAATGAATTCATTTTCATCTGTTGCCTTTTTATCAAGCATTTTTTTTATCTAGAAAACCTCATTCAAAAATATATTAGAAGTAGGGTAATCACTCCCAGAGATTAAATTGGTCACCGTACTAAAAACTCCCAAAATATCACATACCGTCTAAACTTTCTCCCAATCCTCGTCGTTAGGAGAATAAACAAACCCATAGTCTCTACATTTGAATCTCAGAAACACATTTTTAAATTGTAGTGCAATTACCATCATCTCATACGTCGAATTCCATCTTGTTTTACAATCTAAAATCAACTTTCAACTAGGCAACTATAGCTGTTGCACAATCTGTGAGAAAATTTGGAGCCTGCTCTCCGATTGGTTGATGTACCACACACTATCATGGATTTTTTTTAACAATATCCTTAATTTTAGAAAGGCCATCTTGAACCAAAAGATTCAAGATATGTGCACAACACCGCACATGGAATAGCTTCCCTCCACAAACCAACCGCCTGGTTACTGAAAAATTCTCTCTTAATGTTTTGATTGCTACATCATTACTGGAAGCGTTATCAACAGAGATAGTGAACACCTTGTTTTCAATACCTCATTCCTTTAAACATTTGTACACCAAATCATCAATTTGAATACCCGTGTGAAGAGGATTAATATGTACAAAGCTTAATACCCTTTTCTGCAACCTCCAATTACCATCAATAAAATGTCCAGTTAGAACCATATATTCTATATTCTGGTTACTTGACTTCCATAAATCTGTCGTCAAGCTTATCTTGTTGACATTCTTCAAAACATTCATTAACTTCTTCTTCTCAATCTCAAACACAGACACACAATCTTTTTTATTTATTGTGCGCATTATTTTTTCCCCCTCAGGCATCTCAGTTTTTTGCATTAGATTAAAATCTTCTTCCTTCACAATGGTAAAAAGATGCTCATGCATCATGACCCACTGCGCAGCTATTTCCCTCATCCTCGCCATATCAAATTTTCCATCCCAAAGAACAGTGGGTTGTGAGTCACCACTACTTGAACTTGGCTGGAAAAATTGTTGTCCACTACTAACTTGCCTTTCGTTAAGTCTTTTCTTGAGACATTCCTTTAATGTCATTTAAGTTGAGTAGTGGGCCTCGTTTTTGGTAGCACATAGATTACCTTACAATGAATGCATTGTGTCTTTACTTTTCCGTCGGGCAGTTGTAACACATCTTTGAAATCATTTCACATCGCCAATGTCTTTGCCCTTTTCTTCCTTCCAAATGAGTTAAGATCACCCCCCTGGACCTCCTCTTGTTCTTGACTTGTTTCTTGAGTAACCAAGTTAGAACTAGTTGTATTTGAATCCCTTGTGGTTGGGGCTTCGATGGAGCCTTCCATTATTTCACTGATATTTATATCATGAGAGAAAGAATTCACAAATTGAAATGATTTACAACACTTGAGCTGATGATAACACAAAAATTGGAAAATGATTTCGAAATAAAATTTAATACCTTCTAGAAGCAATGGATGTTGAAAATGCACAAGCGAAACACCCTCCTCTTGGCCTTCTCGACTTGATCTACATGTCACAGTGCTGCGTTGATTTCTTTTGGCCTCTGAATCTCCTTTAGTTTCTGTAGACTGATACAAGAAATAATATTTTTATCACTCATGCCAAAAAAACTAATAACAGAAGTACTTCTAACTTCATCTAATTTCTTCACTCAAGTAATCAAATGTTGAATTAGCTTTAAGTGTTGTGTGTTTCATTATCAATTCCAGGTTTCCAGCTACTGTAGTAGGCCTCCCCTCCCAACCGCATTGATTGCTTTATAATTTTTTTCTGCACAGCCTTGATTAACATATGATGTATATCAATTATTAAATAAGCAAACACATAAATCTGAAGCATAAGTCGGACTTCTATTCAGAGAGCATGAAGTACTTCAGAAATCAAAAGCAAGAATGTAATTACCAGTAAAAATTAAATATATAATAAAACATGTAAAACCAGAATATTGTAGTTTCATCTTAAATCGCCATTAATCCAGCTAAAACTAATTAATCAATGGTATATTATGATTCATCCTTACCTGTAACAAACCTCTAAAACGAAGTAAAAAAATAAAAAAGACATCGAATGTCTGACTCTCTGTATATCTAGCTCACATAATTTTATAGCAATACAGATATAAAAACTGAATTCAAGATCTGTTTGTTCCGGAGTAAAATGAGCGAAATTAAACGAATATGGACTTTTCTCAAGATCCAAACAGCGATTCATGAAAACAGAAAGCGAAATAACTTACGAGAATCAACTGCAGCTTCCTTGAATCTGAGTTTACGAATTAAAACTGAAATCTCTCTCCTTTAGTCCTTTATACTCTGTCTCTGTTTGTTTGATTATCTTATTCCCGCCTAACTGCTGAGTGTTGAGGCAATGGGGCTATCGCGTTGAGCAAGCTCAAATTACAAAAAAAATTAGGGCTGTGAAGTGTGAACTGTGATGTGAGTGAGGGCTTGAGGCTGTCGCAATTAGGGAAAGGAAAAAGGTGGAATTGGATTTGGACTTTGGGCTAGGTATGGGAAAATGTGGAATTGGGTTTGGGCTTCGAATTTTTGTTTTAAAATTTGGGCTGGGCCTGGTATGAGAAAATGTGAAATTGGCTTTATATATATATCTCTGTGTGTGTATATGTATAAAATGTGTAATTATGTATATACAAAATTATTATCATACATATATTAATAATAAATAAAATATGTTTAATATATTAAAAAATTACCAAAATGATAGGTTATCATATATTTATTATCATTACATAAATTATCATAAATATTTTAAATGTTTACATATATATTTTGTAGGGGTGGAAAAAACCGGTTAATCGAACCGGTTTATCCTATATTTGAACCGAACCGAATTCCGGTTTAAGTAAAAAACCGAACCAAAACCGAACCGATTTTTTACTTAAATCGGTTTGTAACCGAACAGAAAATCCGGTTCGGTTAACCAGTTTTAAAAAATGGTCTGGACCAGTCGGCCCAATTCAATAGAACCCTCCAATTTGGCCCAATTTATGTTTTTGCTATCTGGTTGATATTTGCTAGATATGCTATAGTAGAAGAACTAGCAGGATTTGGAGCAATAGTACACACATGTTCACGTAACCAAACAGAGCTCGATGCCAGAATTCAGGAATGGATGAGTAAGGGGCTAAAAGTAAGCGGCTCAGTTTGTGACATGGAAATTAGAGTTGAGCGAGAGAAGCTGATGGAAATTGTCTCTTTGATGTTTGATGGCAAGCTCAACATCCTTGTAAGTTTTTAGCACCCAAAAGTTGTAAGTCTTCCACTATATATGGCAATCGAGACAACTGAAAATTCAACCAAAAAAACAACCGCTGGTGGTAAAGAAAATCATAAAGTATATAGGCTTATGGTTTTGACGATGAAGTTTGGTAGCATGAATAGTAAGGAACATTGAAAGTTGAAATGAAGTTGTAGAGAAGGAAAAGATACAGAAATGGTGGATGCGTATTTGCAGAGAAAGGGAGAGAGAGAGGAATTTAATAAAAGAGAGTTTAAAAATAAGAAGGAGAAAGAGAGGTATTTAATATAAGTGGAAGATGAAGATTGAAGAGATCGAGAAAGAGAGAGAGAGAGAGAGGCATTTAATAAAAGAGAAAATGAAGAAATCGAGAGAAAGAAAGAAAGAAAGGCATTTAATAAGGGAAAAAGGTGGAGAAATCGAAAAAGAGAGAGTGGTATTTAATAAAATAAAATATGGAGAAACCGAGAAAGAGAGAGGGATTTAATGAAAGGAAATAATTATTTTTTTTTTGAAAAAATTGGTTTCATAATCCGGTTTCGGTTAATCGGTTTATTTTTTTTAAAAAACCGAAACCGAATCGAATATTCGGTTTACCCATTATTCTAAACCAAAATTAAACCGAATTCGTAAAAAAACCTAATTTTCGGTTCGATTTCGGTCTGATTTTTGGTTCGGTTCGGTTTTCGGTTTTTTTTTCCACCCCAAATATTTTGTATCAACGCCCATAAATTCATAGTAGAATGAGGGTCTATTGTAATATATAATCAATACATATGTGTGATTAATTTGTTATATATATATGTGTGTGTGTGTGTGTGTAATTGTGTATATACAAAATTATTATCATACATATATTAATCATAGGTTAAATATGTTAAATATATTATGAAATTACCAAAATTATAGGTTATCATATATTTATTATCATTACATAAATTATCATAAATATTTAAATATTTACATATATATTTTGTATCAACATCCATAAATTCATAGTGGAATAAGGGTCTATTGTAATATGATCAATACATATGTGTGATTAATTTGTTATATATATATGTGTGTGTGTCTAATTATGTATATACAAAATTATTATCATACATATATTAATCATAGGTTAAATATGTTATTAAATTATCAAAATTATAGGTTATTATATATATTACTATCTATATATATATTTTGTTTCAACACCTATAAATTCATAGTGGGATAAGGGTTTATTATAATAAATGATCAACACAAATGTGTGATTAATTTAGGTTTAATTAAGTTATTATGTTATTAAATTTGTTATGCTATATATCACTTGATTATACAATATGTTATGTTCATAAATTTGTCATATTGTATTTAATTAAGCTATTATATTATTAAATTTGTCATGCTATATATCACTTAATTATACAATATGTTATATTCATCAATTTACCATATTATATTTAACTAAGCTATTATATTATTAAATTTGTTATGCAATACATCACTTGATTATACAATATGTTATGTTCATCAATTTACCATACTATATTTATTATTTATTAATTGAAATGATATATTATAATATTTAATTATTGATTACATTTGGAAAAGTACGAAGTTATTATGTTATTGGATTTACTATATTATATATCACTTGATTATACAATCTATTATGTTATTAAATTTGTCATCCTATGTATCATAATAATTTATTACTTTTTAATTAAAATGATATCTACTTATATATTTAATTATTGATGACATTTGGAAAAAAAAAAAATCTAAACATATTATATATATAAGAAAAAAAAAAGTATCATAATATTTTATTATTGATTACCATTAAAAAAAATTCATCCAAACTAAACCAAACATAATATAAAAATAAAAATAAAAATGAAAAAAAATATAGAAATTATAATAATGCATACCATGTTTTTCGAACATAAACAAACGAACAATCGAATAGATTGTTTACGAACGGATGGATCAGTCGAATGTATAATGTTCGTGAACATAATCGAACGAACAGCCCCTGTTCGAACTCGATCGAACATATTATCGAACGAATATCGAACTGTTCGCGAACAATGTCGAACAGTTATCGAACGAACATCGAGTTGTTCGCGAACTGTTCTGTTCCTTTGCAGCCCTAGACTAGACCACATAAGACCATTGAGCAACACCAGGGTAGATCGTGTCTCTATCTTGTTTAGGTTCGATAATGATTTTGATTCTGAGTTTGTATATGTTTCGACTTGATTTTGGTTTTGGTTTTCATTTTGGTCTTGACTTTGTATGGTAATATGTTCTTTGAAGAAGAAAGGGGAGAGAGAGAGAGAGAGAGAGAGAGAGAGAGGAAATGAGGTTTGAGTATTGAGTATTGAGTATTGAGAAAGAAGAAGAAAATGAAAAGAAGATTTGAGGAAGAAGAAAGGAATAATAAAAACAAATGTTTTATGTATTTTTGTCGTTGTTGGGCTCCGAAAATGTAACTCCCGTGATCTATCTTTAATTTCGGACATTTTTTGTTTGATTGTTAAGTAATAAAAATTAAAGATTACCCATTTTGCTCTTAATTAAATACCATTTCAGATACAATTGCCCTCAAATGTCTACCAAATAATAATCACCTAGACCCCCTTCATTTGAGAATTTAGCTAAAACACCTTATCCATAAAAAGTTTAAAAATTAACAAAGTACCCCCAGCCACCAAAGACCATCACCGGCCGCCAACAACCACTGCCGACCACCCGCAATAATTGTCAAATTGACGCACGACCAGCAGGATCTGGCTGACCATGCGTCGATCTGGCTATTTCCGACCAGATCGAAGGCCAAAAGCGGCCAAATCGCCATGGATCTGGCTAGAAACAGTCATAATAGATCTGGTCGTTTTTTACCAAATCCACGTGGATTTGGACGGAAATAACCAAATCGCCATGGATTTGGTCGAAATGGTCAGATCCACGGTGATCTAGCTGTTTTTGGCCTTCGATCTGGCCGAAAACAGTCAAAACGGGCATGGCTAACTAGATCTCACTGGTCGTGCGCCATTTTGGTGATAATGCCGACCGACGGTGGTGGCCGGCGGTCGGCAGTGGTCTTGGGTGGCTGGGGGTATTTTGTTAAAATGTAAACTTTGTTGATGGGGTGTTTTAGCTAAATTCTCAAATATAGGAGGTTAAAAGGAATTTAATTAAATAATAATGATACTAAAAAGGAAGGGCAATTCAATAAAAGCCTTTGTCGATAAGATTTTATTCTTTCCAACCAAACATCTTAATTATTTATACCCACTAATCTAACCAAACATATTGATATAACATTCCCTCGTAATCTTCAAGATAATTTACTGGGTGGTAATCCTACATTTTCAACAATAAAGCATTCTCCGAACCAAACGCACCCATAATGTTAATTGCAAGGTTTTTTAAACTTGTGGAAAAGTTTGAGGTGTTAAGAAATAAGCTATTTCTCAAAGAGGAATTTAGAATTAAGAACCCCTAAACAAGGCGAGATTATCATAGACTACCCTTAAGATTTCTAAATTTATCATTCGGATGACAATTTTTGCATTTTTTACCATAGACTATCCTCAAAGTTTGAAATTGTATCACGGATACTTTTTTGCCATAACTTTTTTATGTTGTCATTTGTAGTAAATGTGTGAAATGGTAACTTTGGTGTTATAAGAAAGTGTTAGAGTAAAATGGTAAGTTTAATCTTATTAGAAAGTATTCTGCAAACCTAACGACAAAATGACGGGGTTAGTGCAAAGGGGTAAAAAAAAAATAAATAAATAAAAAAAAAATAATTCCTTTGAGGGTCCATTTGATGACAAAAAGGGGTATTCATGATATGGTTTCAGACTTTGAAGGTAATCAATGATAAAAGCGTGAAAGTTATCATCCAATTGATAAATTTGAAAACATGGCCTATGGTAATCTCCCCTAAACTGGAGGTACGACCCCCAACCTCATCCTCATTCCCTTAGCCCCCACCTTAGCATCGCTTATTATTTATAGATTTTTATTTTATGCTTTATGTATTCCAAATAAATATAGGTTAAATAAGTCTAAAACTAAAAATTGCAATAAATAGGAGGGTATTTATTGTCACTTTCGTGAAACGGTTCCATCCTTAACTCTCTCACAAGAATAAAAAACAAAACCAACAAACTAAAGCTAAAATGAAAAGCACCCTTTTTCTCTTTCAAACATCAAAGCACGTGCTTGTGAAATCAATTTCTCACTCCCGCACGCTCTGTCAACAGTGATGGCTGCTGCTCTGCTTTCTCATCCCAGGCACTCTCTCTCCCTCGCAGCTCATAAAAAGCTTCAATTTTTCACTTCAACACCACCTTCAGGTAACTTTCTTACTGTTTTTTAATGTGATCCTAATGGTGAAATTTTTAATGAAACTTTGAGGGATTTCTAATGAAATTCGAAGTGGGTTTGTGTTGGGGAGTGTTAAAATTTGTTGATTGTTGCAGGAGTGCCTTTGGTGGGCAAGAAGGGAAATGGGTTTGGAAAATTGTTGATGGCAAGAGCAAATTCTACATCTGTTGTTTTGGATGACAATAAGAAGAAAAGTAACAATCCCATTATTGTCATTGATAATTATGACAGTTTCACTTACAATCTTTGCCAGGTTTGGTCTCTTTTTTATTTGTTTCTTAATGGCGAATTTTTTTTTGTTTTTTTCCATTTGAATGGTTGTTTGTGTAATATATGTATTTTACATGGGCCAAATGTTTGAGTTTAATAGCCATGATTTGGTGAATGTTGCTGGGAATTGAAATTCATTTGTAACCGTATTATATTTTAAAGTTCTATTTTTTCTATAGTCTACAAATTATTGGTTTTAATTATTTGAAGTTTCTCTATATGGTCCCATGCGCCTTTTAATTTTTACTGAACTTCTAAGGAAATTCTGGTAGAATGCTGCTATTAGTTATGTTTATTGTCATAATTTGTAAAAGTTCAGGCGTAATGTGTTTTGAGACAATTTCTTTACCATATATTTTTCTTGGTTATTCTCTTTCTCCCTCTCTCATATTCTATTAATAGATCAAAACTTATTTTCTGATACTTTTTCCTATGATTTTGAAGTACATGGGAGAGTTGGGGTGTCATTTTGAGGTTTACCGGAATGATGAGTTGACTGTGGATGAGCTAAAGAAGTAAGAACTTGTGCTTTGGCAAATACATTATAGTTGCCTATCTCCTAGATTAGTTCTTTGGTCTGACCAATTAATTATGTGTATCATGCAATTGGTGTTGACTATTTTATTACTTATTATAGGGAAAATCCAAGAGGAGTGCTTATTTCCCCTGGACCAGGTAATTATATTTTTAAATGTATTCTGTTTAACTATATGCACCAACATTCCCACTAGTAAAAGAAAAAAGTTGAAGATTGTCATACTCCATGTCCTATATGTAGGTGCACCCCAAGATTCTGGAATATCATTGCAGACTGTTTTGGAGCTAGGACCTACTGTGCCTTTATTTGGTGTGTGTATGGGTTTGCAATGCATTGGAGAGGCTTTTGGAGGTGAGTCTTCTGGGATGTGTAAAGCTCTTAAACCTTGTTTCATGTTGCATATATTTTTACATGATGTACTACCTTTCTATATGACATGGAAAAATAGATTGAGCAATCTAGTGCTTCTAATTTATTGTTGCTGCTAAGATACTTGCATGCTGGTCTCTAATCATTTGGTTCTGATGTGTTTTAGGGAAGATTGTGCGATCTCCTCTAGGTGTCATGCATGGAAAAAGTTCTCTTGTATATTATGATGAGAAGGGGGAGGATGGCTTGTTCACTGGATTATCAAAGTATGTGAGCATTTCCTTCTGCAACATTCAGTAATCTTCATAATAAAATGTGTTAGATCCACTTCCTATGTATAATTTTGCTATTAGAGTATGTCCTTTTTCTTATCAAAACTGTTAACTAGAGACATCTTAATGTCTTTTTATGCTAAGTACCAGATTGTTTGCTGGGTGTATAATCAGCTAACCCATGGCTCCTTGCCTTCATTTTTGCCACTTTTTCAGTCTCCCTTCCTCCAGAATTTCATCTGTAGGATTTTTTATATGGTTAGGAATCTTGTAGGGATGTATGCGCCTTTTTGAACATCTCAAAATTTGTACTCAGCCTAGCATGAAACTTCTTAAAGTAGGTTATAGTATGTTTGATAGGTTCCTAGATTTGGAGCTTGGTTCTCGTTTAGCAAAGAAGGTCATTTTTTTTAGTGGTCTATATGTTCTTTTTATTTGCAGGTGTTAAAAATCATTGATTTACTAGTGAATATTCTGTCAGTTTTTTAGCAACATGCTTATAGGGCATGCAATATTTTATGTCAAGAGTAACATTGCCAGTAATGACAGCAACTTGTGTCACTCATCTAATTGATGACTTGATGATCCATTGCTTATAGCTCTGTATTTGCCTAGATCGATTTGATGATATAACTTGGACCTTATTGCCATATAGTTTGTCCTTGAGAACAGCTCAGTTTGCTAACTCTATGTTGTGAGATAATATTAGTATTTTACCTTTACCGATTACTATATGCAGTGTTAGGGAATAATTGAGAAGCTTTTTGCACAGTTTGATTCTAGTTTTTGATTAAAAAAAAAGCAAAAATCTAATTACCATATGCATTTTCGTTATCAATAATTACACTGTAGGAAATAGCAGTAGGATTAAAATATGAAAAAAAGTAAAAAAAAATTCCTCAGATGTGCTTAGATCATTATGTCTTCAATAGTCAAGTTTTTAATAACAATAACATCTTCAGTTCTTGCTTGCATGCATTCTGTGAGAGATGATATGGTATTAAATTTGCTTAATTTCTAATTGTCTTATTCCCTCTAAAGATAAATTGGAAAAAAATTTATCATCAGAATTTTTTTATTGAAGTTGATAATTTTTATTCAAAACTTAAGAAGCAAGCAGAGATATATGCCTGAGACACTAGGTGCAGTAAAACCTGGCCATTTAAAATAGATAAGGCTCTGAATTCTAGGCTAGATGCAACTTAACAATAGAGCCAGGCTTGTGTATTAGTCTCTGTGCTGTCAGGGCTCTGAAAATTGGCTTAGCTTGGTTGACAAAATGTATCAACGTGCCGAATTGGTTTTCTAATGACAATCTATACCTATATTTTCTATCTTCATCTTGTCTTTCTATTATATAAATGAACTCTTTTATTTTATTTTAAGTGGAAATGTATTTTGAGGCAGTAATTTACCATTATGTAACCTTTTTTCTGTTTATTAATTTTTTCACTTACATGATAGCAATGGTAGATATTTTTATTATTTACTTCTGTGTACCTTTCCAGTCCTTTCACAGCAGGTAGATATCACAGCCTTGTGATTGAAACAGAAAGCTTTCCTAGTGTGCTTGAGGTTACGGCATGGACGGAAGATGGCTAATATGGCTGCTCGTCACAAGAACATAAGCATCTTCTGGTAAAACACTGTTCTCTTTTATAACTTTAAAGTTATTTATATCCAACTAGAAGAGATGATGAGAAGTTTCTGGTATTGGGGAATGATGTCTTTGTGTTAGGGAATAAGTGACAACAAATATAATGATTGTGTTAGTAAATGTGAAATCTTATAGTTTGAATACGTGATTACCTTCCCTGCTTATTCCTTTCCCATGTCTTCCTCGGTTTGTACTCTTTTCTGGTCTATTTTTGGTTGAATATAAGTTTTTGCTTGGTTGTGACATCTAATAAATTAGGCCATAATGCATATCTTCCACAATGGGATGGGAAGTTGACTGATTAACTGTTAGTCCACATGAATGACTATATAACAAAATCTACATGAGGGTGACATAAAGAAGTGATTTGTTAGAAACAATCATTCTCCTTAGGTTAATATAGGGATTATTGACACGTATACTGAAAGGCACTGATATTGTAAATTGAAGATTGTATATACTACATCCCAGAGATGTGTTTTTTGTTGAATCGTTATTAAACACATTTTCCCCACTAGCTTTCATTTGCCAAATCATAGTTTTCTTGCCAGATGATATTTAATCCTATATGGCTTGTATCATCATATTGTGCCAAAGATATTCTCAAAAACATCATTCAGTTCCCATAAAATATTTTTTTCTCTTTACATTTTTCTTAGTCTAACCATAAGCGCAAATGGATACTACAATCGTAACTAAGTTGCAAAAATCTTGCAGGGAGTTTCAGTTCATCCTGAAAGCATTATAACCGCAGAAGGCAAGACAATTGTTCAAAATTTCATCAACTGATAGAAAAGAGGAGGCAGCTGAATCCCAGAACTAGAGACATAATGAGCAGCACTTAATCTAGCATGTATCTTAATATGCTATTAAAAAGTTGAAGTTAGTGTGGCATTTTCCCTCCGATTGCCTCAATTTATTTATATATAAATAAACCTTTTCCTTTGAAAATATATTTCAAAAGTTATGCTCCCATCTCTGCTGCAATTATGTGTCTCTTGAGATTTGAAAGCAATTGTTCTGGGTTTTTAGGCCTTATTATTGAAGATAAAATAAAGCAAAAGTAGATAACATTACTTGGTGGCCAAATTTAACATTTTCTTTTAAATGAATTATGACAAAGCAATTCAATTCAAGTTGCAATCATCTATAAGTTAGCAAAAAAATAATGAAAGGCTTATGGATAGTGGTTGTGCTTTTCCATGAATTCTGTGACAAAAATGAAAAGCCTTGCGGATAAGTAACTATCATGAATTGCAATCTAAAAGATTTGTTGGTTAAAATTTATTTTTATTTTTTTAAAATTTCTGGGTTTTGAGTTCCAGTTCAAAGGTGGCTGGCTAGAAAAAGAAAGTGTAGTGATGTAGAAATGTTCAACTAATTCTTCAAGATTTTTATCTCCTTAAAGCATGACCACATGGTGTGAATTTTGCAATTCATTAACCCCAAGAACCCTGATTTTCAAGCGACTTTCATGAAGATCATGGGAATAGTTTTTTTCAAACCTTTCATCAGGGTTATTTTATTTTTTATAAATAGTTTTTGTGGATTATTATCACACACACCCAAATTACCAAAGGGCCAGATATTCTTGATTTGGATTAAACCCACTCTATAAGAAAATTACACAAAATAAATGTGAGGTTTAATTAAGTAGAAAAATCAGATGAGTGCCGTAAAAGGCAAATTTTTAATATTGTTGATTTAAATAAGTTATTGAATTACTTGCCAAATAACATAGACAAACAAAAGCCCAATCTCAGCAGCTAATAATATGTGGGGTTAATATTGGTTTATTAGTCTTTACTGAAAATGACAATTACATTTTATGCTTGCTACTTTATCTTTTTTGGCACCTTTCACCAAAATTTTTTCTCCATTGGCAGCCCTTTAAGGCACAGATTATCTAATCTCTTACAATTTTTCCTTTCTTTTTTTTTTTTTTTTTTTTTTTTTTTTTGGTTCTTTGAAATGTGGAAGAAATAAAAGCATTGTAATATATTTTGTAGACTTGACATGTGAAAATAGGTCCCATGTCTTGTGGTTTGCCCACCACTACATTACAAGTTATCATAATTTAACTTAATAACTTCAAAATATTCTTTCCATCAAAAGACAAAAATTCTTATAAACTTAAACCATTGATTCACTTGTTAAGACCAAACAAAAATTTTTCAAATCCAACTGACTCATCCATTCCCTATTCCAACTAATAGTTGACAAAAGGTCCTCTAAACATGACAAAGTTTCACCTTATAATATTTACACATTTTATATTTTTATCAATTTAAACAATAACAAATGAATGCTACAATACCTACACATTTCTAAAAACTAACTCCCATGCTAATTATATATATTTATTCAACCCATGAGGGTGTTCATAAGAGTACAGAAAATTATCACAGAATTCAATAACTTTCAAATTAAAAAAAAAAAAAAAAAAATACCAACATCATCAATGATAAATCAAAACGTAAGAACTATAAACATACCCACCACCACCATCCATCAACCATAGAATTAAAGAAAACTCTCTTATCACCCTCAATAAAATCCCTTCTGTGCCTTCTATCTCCCTGTCTACTACACAAATAACTTTATCCCAACTAAATCAAACTCAAGGACCATAATATGACCTATCATAAATATAAATTTGTACCAGCTTTTGTCAAATGCATCAGTGGACCGGCTAGCGTGGCTTCGATGTGGTGTTTGCCGTGGCGGCGTCGACCGCCCTCCAAATGTAACTGGATCATAGCTTTGAGGCTTCAGCTTCAAGGGGAATAATCACACACTCGGAAAGGAACTTGTATCGAATTTGGTCATAGCAATAGGAATACGTCATATGTTTCCTCCTAAGTTGTCCATTTTAATTCTTTGCGATGGGGTAACACCAGTAGGGATGAGTCTGGTTAGATCGCACTGATGATGTTTGTTCCATGGGATCGCCTGCACAGCCATAGGATGAAGTTGGAGAACTCCGTGACATAAGGGGCGTATTTGTAATTCACTCTATATTGGCCACCATTGGTAGCCCAATCAGACCATCCCAATTGTTGCATACAAACATTGGCTTAGAAGGAAAATCCCCTCCCATTGATTCTGTTCTCTTTAACTTCTCTAATGGGAATATTGTCTACATAAAATCTGCCACAGAAAAGCATACCACATAAGAAATATAACACATAAATCATCAAAGCACAAAAAGAATTAAATCCAAAACATCCAACATGCTGATTCTTTAGATATCATTCAGTTCAGACTTTCGCATTCATGCCCACAAATACAGCAGTGACCACTAGTATCACTAACATTGAATTGATGTTTTGTTAATTCACAAATGATATACCATGGTGAAGGAAAGAGGATCTCGTGAAGCAAAATGAAAGTGAAAGGTCACTGTTAAAATAAACTCTTGTCACTGTTAAATAAACCCTGAACATGAAACTCTAGAACTTCAATCTAATATCTAATCCTACCCATAGCTATTGCTTGAAAGCAAACAGAGGATTGTTAAAATTAGTTAGAAAATTAAGGAAAAGTGGTATTGATAAAACAGGGGATGCAATAATTGGAAGAACAGAGCACATGCTGTAAGAACCACAAACTTTCCTGAAAAAGAAACTCCAGATACAAAAACAACATACAAGAGCATCATGTCATATCTCAAATCTTAAATTCCATGCCGTTTAAGGATGGACATTATGACTGAAATTTTGTTAAAAAAACAAAAGAATGGTGGCGAATGCTTACATGATCTGAATCAGTCCAGAGAATACTATAATGATGGAATCATCGGAAGATCAAACCAAGATTGTATCTTTCTTCTCTGCCTACACTGGTGCTTCCATTGCCATAAATATTTGTTTGAATTCTCCAATCTTGCCTCTTATTGTTACCCAAGAACTCAAAGTCTACTCATCATGGTTTCTTCTCAAATATGTCGCCATTTGACATCTGCAACCAAATTTTAAAACTTTGTCCAGAAAGCAAAATTTGCATGATCCCATCTGGTTATGTCAAGAACCTTGTTGAGAACGTAAACTTTTTTAAGTAAGAGAGTTGCAGAACCAGAGGATTGAGAAGAGAAAATAATATTTTAGAAATTTAAAAAAAAAATAGAAATATAGAGAAGAGAAACTCACATAGAAGCAACAACAATTCCAGCCTATAATCTGATGGAATTAATTGAAGTACTGAAGAACCCATGAAGATAAAGATCCTGTGACACAAATCCAAACCTGTAAAACAAACAAAAACTTGTAAAAACCACAAAACAAAGAAAGAAAAAGAAAAGAGCACAGGAAAAAAAAAAAAAAAAAAAAACCAAAACCTGTGGATTCATCTAAATTAAATGAACAGATTTTCCATCTTTATGAACAACAAGATTATCATTTCCGAACAAATGTGTTAGCCTCCATCAAAGAGTACAAGAGGGGGCTTTTGTGAAACCCGAGAAGCCAAACAAGAAGGGGAGAAGACAAAGAGAGAAGAACCATTTGAGAAGGAGGAGACCCCATCCTGGACTATTTTTTTCCGAGTATGGAATGAACTGTTGAATGTGTTGTTTCAATTCATATAGAAAATGAATGATTTTTTTTTTTTTTTTTTTTGAGTTTTTTTAGAAAATATGTGAAACGAAATTGTGTGAATATGAATAATAGGAACAAGAAAGAGGAGTGTTGGAAAGGAAAGGAATATCATCTCTGTACAGCTAGCTCTGAGTGTGAAGAGAATAAGTTAGAGAGGCCTGATTATAGAGATGAAAGACAAGAGTTGTATTGTTTTTTAAATTAAATTTTTATTATCTTCAACTTTTACTCCTTTTTGTCTTTTGTTTTGGTTTTTCTTAAATATTTATCTGAAATCTCCTCAACCAAAAAAGTTAAAAACCCATGTCTTATTTATTTTTATCATCACCTTTAAGAAACTCATTTTAATT